CTTAAATTTTTCCGATTTGTTCTTCATGGTCTTTGAAGAATTTTATTTGTTCATAATGGTCCTTAAAAAATTTCTACTAAAAGAATTTATTTAATGCCAAAATGCAGTTTAACTTAAGCTATTAACATTATCTGAGAAGAAATTAGTCTCAATATGTATGCATATAAAGACATTCATCAATGTTATAATCATATCTCTAGATAAACCTCTTTTATAGTTTGTTTGATTTGAAAAAAATGAATGAATTAATCACTCCTCTCATTTATTAAGTAAAAAAATTAAAACAAAAAATATATAAATGACTTTTCTCTCCTCTCCTCCCCTCCAATTTTTTTAACCAAACAGCAATGTTTCCCTTCCCTTCCCCTCAAACTAAACTAAACATGCTATAAAGTATTGTCAATGCATGCAAATGGACTCAAACACATTCACTTATATAACTTTCAATAATAAAAGAAAAAGCATTAGATAAATATAACATCAGCTTCTTTTGAAAAAACTTATTATTTAGAAAAACATACACTTAGTATATTTATGGCCATAGCATAATGCACTAATGTAGTGTTACTAGCAAAAATTCTTCACTCATGTGGATCGTACCATATGTTATAAATATAGTTTCAAAGCTATTTGTAGGATCTATATAAAAATTATGGTGTATGGTGTAATCTCTAAATTTTTTTGCAATTGATGTACTATATTATTTATCAAGAAATCTATAATTATTTTTATCAAAAAAAAAAATCTAAATACATCATAGTTTCATAGATATAATTAAAGTCTCAATGCTAGTCTGATAACCAATGTAAAGTACTTAAAAAAACCACTACAGTATCATTTGTTAAATAAATCCTCACTTTCAGGTTCTAGCACTTAGCCAAGCCCATTCTTTTGTTGGCATTAAATCTTCATGTTCCCTTTGTGTTGTATAATAGCCATTACACAATCCGTCAAATGAGATATCCATTTTTTGAAATGTGAAGCCACAACCATTGTCTTTGTTCTTGATCCTTGAAATGGATTTTGCCGATATCAACTCCAACAAAATGTTTTCCAAAATCAGCTTCATCTTTAAAAACTTCGACTTTGCTCCAAAAACATAGGAACTAAGCTAGTACAACCAAAAGTAATTCCTCTATTCTTTTTTCTACTTTCACAGCCATGCAAGAAATACTCAGCCTGTCCAGCAAAGCACCCTCCAAACCCCCATTACGCCATAACCTTCATCCTAATCTTCCGTGCCTCCCCACACCCACAAAATAGGTGATTCTTGTCCTCTAGAATCCCATTGCGTAGCCCACAGTACACTTGCTCACCCCGCAAACCCACCCCTCTCTTACACAGGTTATTCTTTCTTTTTTTGTACATTGAAAGTTAGTTGCTTAATGTGGTGAAAGTTTGAATCTAATTTAGACCCAAATCAATATTTTTAAATTAGTAGATAACAATTTTCTCAAGCTTAAACTTTTATTAGTATAATGATTATCCTTGGTTGCAAGTATATTTGAAAACAACTGCCACCCAAAAATACTCAAATTTGTTGAGACAAATTTGCACCATTTCTTATCAAAGCCAAAACTCATGTGCCTCTTTCACTAATCAGAAGGACTAATATTTACAGGAGTATATATTACAGATTTTGCAATAATCTGTTAGGTAACCAAGAACACTTTTAAAATATGAACTTGAAGAAACAACTTCAAATTTCAATTGATTCGTGGAGTCTAATACCAGGCCAGGGAATTCGGACCCCTGAGATTTAAAGAGTTCGTTTGATTTGAAGAAGGAAAAGAAGGGAAGTGTTACTTCATTCCATTAAAGTAGAAGCCTCTCATCCACTACCTTCAAACCAAAAAGGCATTTCAATTTTACATTCGAGTCCGTACATGCAGGTTCTTGTCCAAATTTTCCTTATTTTCTTTGTTGTGATTGTAAACATCAAAAGATAAAAGGAGGCTCTTAAAAATCAAAATAATTGAGATAATTGCCAAACAGCAATTATCACTGAAACATATAATGCGCGAATCAAGTCTTAGAATGTCAGCATTCAAACAAGATAACAAAGATTCAACCCAAAAAAATAAGTTAACTGTGGCGAAAACAAACATGAAAAACAAGCAATCTACCAAAATTAATAGCTTTAGCTAAGTTGAGATAGGATTGAGGACAAATTGTGTGAGAACCAACAAACTCCAAGCTTGGTTTAATCCTCATCACCGAAGGTTGTTTTCTTTCCTGCAACAGGGCAAACAGACATTGGAAAATGCAAAACAGATACCAGCCTAGTCACTTTTTTGCATGAAAAATTCATGTTCACATTAGTAACAGAACTAATTTAGATAAGAACAATAAATGACACAATCAAATACCTGTTCCAGCGGCTGCAAAGTTTGGCCTTGGTGTTCCGCGTCCCCTACCACCACCTCGGCCACCACCACGTCTACCACCACGACCACCATCTCTCCCACCAAACCTTCCCCCACCACCTCGTCCACCTGCACTTCTTCCACCACTTCGGCCACCTCGGCCACCACCCGCACTGTCACGGAAATCACCTCTTGGTTTTGCCTCTTCCACAGTCAAGTAATTATTTTTAAGTTCTGTATTGTTAAGCTCTAGAGCACTGGAGAAACTATCACCATCTTTGAAATCTAAATAAGCATACCTGCAATCAGTTTCAATAACATGGAGAACAAATCAAAATGTGCTAGTAGGGCCAATGTAATCAATTTATCTTCAATCTTGAAACTTAGATGAAACAGATGGGAAAAGTGGAGCATGATACAGGAATTCAAATTTGCACACGATTATATCCAATTTTAGTAAAACAACAGCAAAAGTTACAAGCCGTTATCATAAATACAACACAGACCCTTTAATGGCACCAGTGTCACGATCAACTGGAATTGCAACCCTTGTAATCTCTCCACAAGAACCAAAATGCTCTTCCAAGGCACTTCTAGCCTTATATCATTCAAATATAGTACACAAAGTCAGTAAACATAATGATTTACCCAGGAAGAGATAAGAGGTCTAAACAACTAGAGTAGCAAAAAAGATACCTCCTCCTCTCCAAGAGATGCATCAAACCCTCTGACAAACACTGTATGTGACTGACCTTTACCTCCCCTCTGGAACGAATTGCTCTCTTTGCTAAAAGATTGGCAATATAAAATGAAGCAGAATAAATCACCTATTTTATATTTAACAATGCAGCCAAAAGACTAGTAATGGCAAAAATATTTACCCACTAAATGGAGTATATGCACCCCTTTCACGAGCAAAATCAAGTCTCAGAGGGCGATTCATCAAATATTGACCACTCAATTCCTTAAAAGCCTACAATTTGAAGCACGAATTTAATGACAAAAAATAGAAGCATAAGAGACTGTTATTTTAAAAAAGCACTTGATTCTTGGAACCAATTGGCAACTCTATACTTCAATACACATTAAATGGCATGCACATGAAAGCAAATGCTTGCCTAAGGGTATCCACAGCCATCTAATACCAGATACCACACACTGACTGACAATTTGCACAAAGTACAGTCACAACTCAGGAATAAAGCAGTTGAAATATGTATAAACAAATCACAAGATCCAACAAGAAGAAAAATGAGCCTACCATTTGTGCAGCTTCTTCAGTGGCAAACTCAACATGCCCAAAGCCCTTAAAATTTCCTTCAGCATCAGTACTAAAACGAATATCAACAATCTCACCAACACCTTTGAAAAACTCCTCCCTGAAAAATGAATACATTAGAGGTAAAATAAATAAATAAAATATTTCGCATTTAAAAGAGGCAAGGAATCCACATACACATCAGACCGTTCGACTTGAAAAGGCAGGTTACCAACAAATAGTGTTTTTGATCCTGTGCTTTGACTTGGAGGAGTAACAGGTGTCTGCAGCTGCACAAAAAATTAGTATGAGATTCCTATCAGGTAAGGAGAAAAATAGACATAACATGGGGGAAGCTGATACAGTGATGAAGCAAAAATTGTGGGAAACCAGAGAAAGTCAAAGTGTAATTACAGTTTTCTTTCCAGACTTTGAATCCAGCTGCTTGTTCTTTGGTGTCGCATCATCTACCATCTCCACATCAGTGTCCTGTGTCCAGTAGATTAACTTAAAACCGAGCAAGGATTTCATCATATATAAACCAAAAACTTTTATTTACAAGAGTAAATAATCAAATAAACCAAATAGCAGTACCATGAGAACCAAAAATCAAACAACAATCCAAACACTTTCAGAATTCCTTACATTTTTCTTAGGCTTGGAAGCTTCTTCATCATCACTTTCCTCATCATCATCAGATGATTCTTCCTCTCCACTAATGCTATCATCTTCAACTGCCTTAGCAACAGTTTTCCCAGCATTTGCCATGACCTTTGACTGCCGGAAGTGAAATTGAACAGGTTAATAAAGAGAAATTAAAACAAGAAAATGGTAGAAGTAGCATATCAAAAATAAAAAGATGGTCTTGAAAATTGACCTTTTTCGTTGCCGGTTCGTCATCACTATCATCACTTTCCTCAGAGCTATCATCCTCACTTTCATCACTCTCCTGTTGTTTTCAACAATGATATTGGTAAGTCAATCCATCAAAAAAATTTGATGAGCCAAAGAAATTCAAAATAAACATGAGAAAATCCTATAGTTAGATACATTAAGACCATTGCCACAATCTAACCAAAAGAAATAGAATGACAAGCAGTCACAACACTGTTGGGGAAACAAAGGCATTGGACTTGAGAATAATACCATAATACTAGCCAATAAAAATATTCTGGTTCCGTAGGTCATTCATTTGTTTTATAAGGGGCAAATGAAACAAATTATGAGGTCCTTATTATTCAGGTGAAAGAAGCAAACAATAACAAATGAGGAGGTCATTATTACACAAATGATGAGGTTCCTACAAAACTCTCACAAACAGCTGAGGGAATTACAGAAACAAATAAGTAAGAAAGAGTAACCTGTTTGGACTGTTTACTGCCAACAGTAGGAGCTGGCCGTTTTGCAGCAACAGGAGTCTTGGTTGGAGCCTGCAGAATGACAAATTCACCATCATATTAGCAAAACAAGCAAGCAGTCAAGAGGTTCAAAGGAAAGAAAATTTTGCCAAAGAAAGCACACCTCCTCTTCTTCAGACTCACTCTCATCAGAGGAGCTGGTACGAGAATCTACATCTTTCTTATGGGCTGGAGCACTTGATTTCTCAACATTCTAATGCAATATGAAGTACAAATCAGAAGATGAACAATCCCACAGAACCATGGAAACTCTTTGTAAGACAATGCATACAATAGGAAATTATTTGATCAGTCAAGTTGTACCATTGCATGTACATGAATTCCAATAATATGGTTACTCTTTTGCATGAGCAAGCACATGAATGGGTTAACATATTGTATTACTATATTGTAAGAATTTATCCTTCAAAATCACTAAGGAATGCTAAAACTTAGAAAACTGTAACAACAAAAATACTCACATCCTCATCTGACTCTGAAGAACTTTCATCTGAACTTGATTCTTCCTGCACATTAGGATAAGATGTTAGTACTCGTTCGGATAAATTTGGTGATTTTTCTGAGATACATTTAAATGCAGAACTAGATTTACCATTCAACAAGAAACACAGAACAATAATAATGAAAAGCACTGTTAACTATTTTTCAGTTAGGTCAACTTAAAACTGTGAACATCTTGTCAAAAAACTAGGAAAACAAGAAAGATGCACTCACTTGCTTCTTTTTGACAATAGTAGAAGCTCCTTTTGGCAATTGGGTGGCAGGCTTAGACTTGTTCTGCATGTGCAAAAGACTTGATTAACCAAACCATTGATAAAGATAAGAATGCAGATTGAATAAACCCAGCACGCACTTCTTCTTCATCTGAGCTGCTATCCTCTTCTGAACTGCTATCTGACTCTGAGCTGCTAGAAGGCTTGCCTTTCTTCACTGAGGCACCACTGGAACCATTTTTCACAGCAATTTGTTTTGATTTGACATCAGGCCCCTAGAAGATCAAAATAAAACAATAAAAATATATAACATCAAGTGCATGGGAACTAATGAGGTCCATCACATGAGTACTTTTTGAATTATCACCTCTTCGGAATCAGAATCATCAGAAGAAGAATCTGAACTGCTGGCAGGTTTCTCTTTTTTAGCAGGTGCTCCGGCAGAGCCATTCTTAGCAGGTTTCTTTGCAGTGGGTTCCTAAAAACACCAAACATGAGAAGATATGGAGATATATTCACATATCATGCTGATACTATAAGCACTAGGTTTTTGCCTCACCTCATCTGAGGATGAATCATCACTTTCAGATTCTGATGAATCATCACTTCCAGAACTGCTAGCTTGCTTCCCTTTCTTAGTAGGTGCCCCCATAGAGCCATTTTTGGCAGTAACTGGTTCCTGCTTCTTGGGAGCAGCTTCCTGCAGAACAGTTGAACAATACATGAACATCAATACACATCTATTACTAATTTTATAAAAAAAGAGAAGTCAACTGCTCACTTCATCGGAAGATGAATCCTCACTACTAGAGTCTGAAGAACTGCTATCTTGTTTCCCTTTCTTAGCAGGCAGTGAAAGGGGCCCATTTTTGGCCGCCTGTTTCTTCTGGGCAGCAGATTCCTGGACAGAAATATAATAATAATTAGCAAAATCAAATGCAAACGTCTATACCTGAAACTTTAAAGTTACTGTATAAAATTAACATAGTTGGAATGTTTGCCTTTTCATCCTCGGAATCAGAAGAGTCTTCTGAACTGCTGGTTTCCTCTATCTTCTTCTTCTGGGTCTTTGCTTCCACCTTCTCCTTTTGAATAGCCTGTGCCACTCCATCATTTTTCTTCTGCTTCTTCACGACTGCTTGCTTTTCAGGAGTATTTTCAGCTTCTCTCTTACTCTTACCTACAATACCAGAAAGCCCAACAATTAAAAAAACAGCTAATATAAACACAACCCATTATACCAAAAAAATAATAATAATAAAAATTAAGAAAGAACTAGATACGTAATTAGGAAATTACAAACTACAATCAGCCTCTCAAACAAAGAATCGTTCAACCAAAAAAAAGACAGAAAACGATAACATAATCAAAGAAACAATAACCAGAAAGGAGTTAACTTGAAGCAAAAACAAAAACCAAAGAGAACAAACAGAATCGAGAAAATGAGAACAAAAAAACCTTTCTTCTTCGCGGACGTAGGTTGGACAAGAGCAGGAGCTGCTTCGACCTAAAAATCAAAAGAAAAGAAAACGATCAGCCAAAAAAACAGAAACTGAAATGAAAATCGATTAGCTAAGGGGTCGAAGAAAAAAGTACTTTGGGGGTCGACTTCTTGCTTGATTTTCCCATGGCAGGCGATAGATATAGATACTACAGAAAAAGCAAGGGACTCGGATTGTGAGGGAAGAACTGCAAAACCCTAGCAGTGAAGATATTTTTGAGCGGAAGGGTTTTGGGGGCGTACTGAGATTATGTTGGGCTTTATAGAGCGCGGTGGAAGTCGAGAGGTTAGGGTTTTAGAATATGTGTGCGATGCGGCTGTGTCTGAATTCCGTTGTATCCTGACCGTCCGTCCGATTATGGAAGGTTGCTGAATGTAGGGCTAGGATTTTCACTTAGCTGCAAGCCTGTCGGCCTGTTTTCATTGTGGGGCCCATTTGTTGTGGCAGCAAGCATCTCCTTCGCATTTTTTATTTTTGTTTTAGCCTTTGATAACGGCCCAAAGAAGATTACTTTGGGCTGAGCTTAGCCCGCCGATTCCAAGTTCAACAGCGATTTGAGTCTTTTCTTTTGTGCTTGAATTCGAGAAGCCTAACCGTCCACGAGATATATATAAAATTAATAATAATATTAATTAAAATTAATATTAGTATTTATCAGCAAAATTCCTAACAAACTAAAAGGGAAAAATATCACAAAATTTCATAAATCACTACAAACAGTCTCAATTTTGCTTTAAAAATAAGTTATTTTCAATGAAAAATTATTGAAACATCATAGTTTTTGGTGTTTTTCTCTAATAACTTATTAAAGATTTAGTAGATAAGCATTTTTCTAATTAAGGCTATTAAAGAGATTAGTGTTTATCAATGAAAATTCTAAAAATTAGGAGGATAAAAAATTTAGTCATTTTAATAAAATATTATAGAAAAATATTAAAGTTGTATTTAAAGTTGCTTTCTCATAATGCATTTTCACACAAAATTTATTATGATTAAATTAATTTTAATTGATATTTTGTATAATTTAGGCAACATTTGGAGTTGCTTTTCCATAACATTTTTTCTTACAACACTTTATAAAAGTGTTAATTTATTATAATTAAATTAATTTTAAGTATTATTTTGTAAAATTTAGTGGTCAAATTAATATATAAAATTCTTTTCAAAACAATTATTAAACAATAACATAATTTTTCTCATAATAAAATATTAAGAAAGTCATGGCACAACACTTTATAGTAATCCTAAAAATAACTTAAAACAATGTCATTCTTACATTAAAAATATATTATTTTAATATTTTTCAATAAAAAATGATTAAAATGACATAATTATAAGGTATTTTTTCTCTCAATTTTTTAAAAATCTAATTGTAAGTACTTTTCCCATTATTAACATATATAAAATGGCTATGGCAAATTTGAAAGGCTATAGGTGTGCTTGCTTAGGATAATATTTTCATTTTTATGTTTGTCGATGAACGAGAGCTCAATTGAATATTGGTGGAAGTTTCATAGGTATTCAATGATAAAAGTTTGATTGTCTTAGTTGAATATAAGGGAAGGTAATTGATAGTGAATTAGATTTCTCAAAATATCCCTCTTGGATCCAATTCTTGGATTTAAAGATTAGGCTTATGATTGATATTATAGGCATATTAATAGGTAAATTTATAAGTTATTCTTAATATAAATATTCCTTAAGATAACTGTTTGCACCATAAATTGTAAAATTTTAAGATAAAGCCACATGTAAAATATTTTTTTAGTGGATGGAGGAGATTAAGTCAGGTCAGATTCGTAATTCTAGGTCCCATGACAGATCAACTGTCATTTTGGCAAAAAATGAGAGATAAACTTGAGGTTTTACTGTGTAATTAACTTGTGGAAGTAAATAGGGAGTTGTTAAGCTAAAATGTAGGAGAGGATTGTAGTTAAAGAGGGGTTTTATCTTATAAAGAAGGGTTTTATCTAATAAAAAAACAGATGACAAAAATCTGTAAAGAGATAAGACCAAGTCAATTGGTGAGTTGTCCCATTATCTCAAGAAACCAACCATGATTGAGTAACTGCAGAAAGTGAAAGTTACTACTGGCACAAGGAGAACAAAAAGGAAATTTTGGAAAGGAGAACAGACGGCCAACCTTACTTAAACATCTGCAAATTTTCAAACTTTATTTTCTCTGCAATCTGCTTCCAGATTTCGAATTTCAGCACAGATTCCATTAGAATTAGGTTGTTTTTCATCATTCCAATAGGCAAATTAATTCATGTATTCAGTTCAACAATTTCTTTTTATGCAATGAACTTCAAGCTTTTAAGTTTATACAAGGTATTGTTCTCTTTCCATTTGCAATTAATTTAATGTTTATGATAAGTAGCATTTTATTTAATGATTACTTATGTAGTGCTCATACCTCTTTTCAACCTCAAGCATCATAGTTTAATCACTGTTCACATTAATTTTAATGTTAATTAGGGCAAAATCTTTAATTATGCAGCATTTTAATTTCCAGATCTGCTAGTAGATAGCATTTTAATTTAACGGTCAACATGTTTAATTTAATGTATGCACATTTTATTCTCGTAAATTTATTTTAAATTGCAAGTTATTTAGTTCAATTAGGATTTGTTAATTTTAAGTCACAGTAGTATTTAAGTCCTTGGAGTTGTCCAAAGAAGATTTCGTAATCCATTCTGCAAGAAGATATCCTTCATTCTTGCAAATCGTCTGTAGGCGTATATTTCAATTTTAATCCAACGTTCTTCCCACCATCTGCAAAGAGGTCAACCGTGAAAAGGAGAGGGTCGTTGGGAAAGTCATCCTTTTTTACTTTCAGCAAAGTAAGTGGCACACTCATATCCAGATTTCACATGTGCGAGACCACCAGAGGATTTTTGGGGAAACAAGAAGAAAATTAATGGTCCTGGTGTAAGGGTTAGAGTGGTGGTGGGCAATTGACGTCCATTGTAAATGATGGATATGGTGCAATTGATTTTATAAGGTGCTATTACAATGTTGCATGAAATATGAGAATACTGGATTTTCATTATGTTTGTTGACAAGTACACCACGTGGAGGATAATTGACTTATTAAGATTTGTATGTTGAAAGAGGAATGCAAGGTTGTGCATAGTTATGGTGCAAGGTTTAAAGCTACCTTAAGAAGTGGTTAGTGGCATAAGGTGACTCTCAATCGTAGTTGATTTGTTTTTGAGAGTTTTAGAAGATTTTTGCCTATAACAGATCATGATTAGTAGATGTCAAACAGTTTGATGGCTTTTATTAATTGTTTCAAATGAGGTAACAAGGACTTAGCTTTAGTCGAGGCTGAAAAGAACAAGTACCATTTTAGTCCTTTTTATTTAGGATCTTTTTCATTTGTTATAGTTTTGATGTTTGATGGTAAAGGAAGAGCGAGACAATGTAGCAAAGGAAAAATTTAAATGCTATGGCATTGGGTTTGTTTTAGCTAATATTCTTAAACTAAATCAAATATTTAACCATTTTGACCTCTAATTATCAATTTGATTAATATAATTGATTAAACTCAATCCAATTGATTATTAATTAATTAATATAAGAAATGTATGATAAATATATAATTATGCATTATATATCATTAAATTTGAATTAGCTTAATTGGTAAAAACATTTTATCAGCAACATTACATTTAATTTGTTATTTACTTACACAAAAACTATAACTAAAACCCTAAAAAAATATAACTGTAATCCTCCTAAATACTATAATTACATATTAAATAATGTAGTTAATGTATTATATAACTAAAGGTAAAAGTTACGTTTACAATAATATTGTTATAGTTTTTAAATTCAGAAGTAAAAATCGTAAGGAACCTATATCTACATTTAGAAAATTATAGGTAAATAAAAATGTCTACACTTATCAAGTGTAGGTAAAACCAATGACAACAACAAAATAGTGGTTTAAATATTATTATTTAACATTAATATTTATTAGTGTTGAATATAGTATTTAATAATATTGTATGTTGTATTAAAAAATTTTATATCATAACAACCTTATTGTATGTAAAATGAATATTTTATAATAATATTTATTGTTACTAAATATATTATTGAAATAAATATTATTGAAAAATCACATAAATTGATGCAAACTAATGCATCTACAACAACTTTATTTGTGCTTAAAACTAATATATTCTAATTGTATTTATCGTTATTAAATATATGATATAATAACTATAACATCCCCTTTTTTGGAATAAACCTTCTAGTTTACTAAGTAGAGAAATGTATTCCTCAAAATAAAAGAAAATAGTAGGAATTATCCATAAAAAAGATTTACAATGAAAGTAAAAACTCTTTTAATATAAAATGTTTCTCTTTAAGGAAAACCCACTTTCAAAACAATTTAAAGTTTTATAGAAAGAAAATCATTCATCTACAAGGAAAAACTATATAAATGAAAAATGTCTTAAAAAATATCAAAATACTCAAAGTCATAAAATAAGCTAGGCTATGCTCATTTAAATTAATCTTAATGTCATATACATAAAAGTAACTTATACATAAAAGTAACTTATACAAAAAAAAATACATGAAAGCAATTGCTTTTCAAAATACCTTTTAAAATAATAATACCAAAATTATCATTTTGGTAATACATTAATCCGCCTTCACATCAAAAACACTGAGGTCAACATACGAGATTTATACCGAAAGCTCTCAAGCTGAGTTGTCACTACTCCAGTCTACTGATCTGAAATGAGGGGGATTTTATGAGTTAAAAACTAAGTATTAAGTTTAAGCTATAAACTTGGGTCTTAAAACCCTTAGACCTATACACACTAAAAGCACAAAAGACAACTAAATCGAATTACATAATATTATAAATCTCAGTGTTTAAATAACAATTTAATAGCACAAATTAACTCATAAATAGTCAAACATGTCAAGGAACAACCAATGACATTTATATCAAATTCATATCGTAAAACCATGTACTCATAAATGTGATGTGACAAACATAATCCATAAAACCAAAAATCACACAATGCTAAGGAGTTCACTGATGTGTGCTAATAACACAGTACGGGAGCTAATTACAGTATTGGAGCTAATCACAGTACCATCCCTATTGTGCAAAGATCTACTAAATACCCTAAAGAGTCCACTTAATACCCAAGCTTAAAGTTTAGGTTCACTTACTCCATAGCCATAAACACATACACATGTCAAAT